CTTGAGAAAATATCAATTAAATCGACAATAGAGACACAAATAGGGGAAATGAAAACGGAAGCATTGAGTAAAAGATTATTAAAAGTCAGTGGAAATTTGTGTAGATTTGGATGGAGTGGAAGATGAAGCCATTGAAAGGGTCTTGAACAAAAGTTATGGAGAAAACGAGAGTTGCGCAGAAAACAGACTGAATAAAATGGTAAATTTTTTACGGTGTAATGCCTTTTTAGAGTTATTTTTATTTTTAAAGGAGGTTGTGAATAAATTCTGGTTTTTCTAAGCCATGTGAAATTTAGAACGTAAAATCGTAATTTTTTGTTGTTAGATGAAATCCCTAAAAATCCATTGAGGCAGAAAACGGAGAATTGATTTCAGTCAATGATGGTGGGAATAAAAAGGAATGTGCTTATGATTATTGTGTCAAGTAACTCATTAAACAGAAGGAAAATATAAATAGATAGATCTTATGTAAACCGAAGGTGACAAATTATAAATAGAATTTTAAATATTATGGGAATGTTACAAAGAGGAAGAAATGACAAATCCAGTTTTGATTGTAACAATTCGGGTAATCACTTTTGATTGTAACAAATCCAGTACATTATTACTTCTTTTTAATAAAACAGGAAAAAAATAATTGAAATGATAACAAGTGGTTGGTAGAGTGTTCAGTCTTAGTGATTATTCAATTCGTCCACTGGGTTTGTTTGTTTGGGAGTGAAGAAAGTAAGAGGAAAGAATGAGGTAGTTTCGTGGGAGAAGTGAGAAGAACTGCTTCCTCAGCTTTCTTTTATGAGAGATAGGGTTGTGAGGGAACTGAGAAAAAGTGTGAGAATGGATCATAAACATACTCACGTCCACACCACTCCCCTTGCCTTCGCACTCACCGTTTCTTGCTTCCTCTGCATCGCTTTGCCACGTTCCCACTCTCAACCATCGCCACCGCTTTGTGATGAGCAGTCATACATGTGCACCATAAAGGTTTCCGGCATCTTGGATCCTGTCTGGAAACAGATTCCTCCCTCTCAGTGTATCGGCGCCGACCCATCACCCCAGCTCAGCTGCTCTGCTCCTTATGAATCTCAAAATTTCACACTGAAGAAGGTCAACCACACCACTCACACCATGACGGTTGTGCCAACACACACTGTCAACGATGTTTGTTCAACTGATTTTGTTTACATTTACGACAACTTGAACAACAGTCTGTTACAACATTACGAGTCAGTGCACAACGTCATCGTATTCTTGGATGATTGTCCTTTCTACATCTCAAATTTCACTTTACGCCAAGTAAATTGCAGGGATGCTGCGTTCTATTTTGGGGAGGAGAATGAGATGTTGCACAAAGTACTCGAATCGCTTAAGGATTATTGCAAGAGATGGTTGCTGGTGCCCATTGCCGCTCCTCTTGATGATTATGATCATAAAGGTGATGGAGCTGAAGTTCTGAAAGAAGCTCTGAGGGATGGGTTTCAGCTCTACTATAGTCCTCCTCAACACTGTAGAGGATGCAACCAAATTAACGGAAATTGCTGGAGCGGTGGTTATGAGGGACATGTAGTTTCATGCAACTACTATTGCCCAAATCAATACTGTTCTTCCAAAAGGAGTGGTATGTCTTCTCTCCTCTCATATATATATCTTACATATCATTCCCACAAAATCCTCTTTTTAGCTAATCTCTTCCCATTCTCCTTCTTTAATCTACTCCTAACATTTAACCAACACACACTTTGATGCAACAATTAGGACAAAATTAGCACAATAAATTCAGTGCAGTCTGGGATCAGCTGCAATTGGACCAACCCACTCTTACTCCCATCCACAAATTTTCCATCCCCATCATGCTTACCGATCTACACTTCATTTTTTATTTTTAAATTCCATTCCTTTTTGACAAATTATAGTATTTCTTTTACAATTACTTATTTCCTTCCTCATGCGGTTTCTTTACCGCCACCAAGTCCCATAAAACTTTTTGGGGTTTGAATTTGTTAAATACAGATAAAAAATTATATACAAAACTAATTTATCTTGAATATATCCAGGATATAGAATTTTTTATTTATAATAAAAAAATATGTACTATACCTAAAATATAAATAAAAAATAATAAGATAAAAGATAAAAATAATATATCTAATACTTTCTTTTAAGTTTGTACATATAAATCTTATATATTAAGCTTACTACTAATATAATCAATATATTTAGTGAAAACATATATAGACCGATTAAAAGCAAAGATGATAGAAGAATAGAAGCTGAAAAAGCCATGAATAAACAAGTGAAAAATCTTAAAAATATAAGATTTTCCAATCAAGGCATATGAAGAAAAAAAACAACTTCAATGCTTTGAATAAGGAACTAAGATGAGATGAGACATGCAATCACAACTAATATGAAAGCAGAAAAAAAACAATCTCAATATACCATCATGCACGATAGAAAATGGGAGCAAATCTACAACTTTAAAAAGCATTAATGAAGACATTGTTGATAACATAATACTCGCTTAAGACGATTAAAATTAACAGAGTATCGTCGTCGACAATAATAATGGAGTGGCAAAAGCAACAACTTTTTTGAGTTGAATATGTGTATATAAAATCCTCTAGTTATAACAAAAGAAATATAAGGTAATCTTAAAATATAAATAACAAACTAATAAACATACTATATCTACACGTTAATATGCCCATGAACAGAGCTCATTAACATCAATTTCTATTGGGTTATTGGTTATAGGAGTCCTGGGACATTTAAGAAAATAATTTAAACGAGGTCTTTTAATTAAAGTATTATAAGAAAGAGGATTTTGCATGCATAATTATTTTTTTAGTTCTTCTGTCATATTAATATTATAATATTATGTTGCTTCCAGCAAATAGAGATTATCAGCTTAGATAACACATACATGCGGTACTTTATCAAGTAATAAAGAGAAGGTAGCTTTGTTCTTTAGGAATAAGAGGATTCTGTCTGGCAGTGTTTGTTTAGAAGAAAAAAAAATGTGATGCTTCATAGCAATAAGCTACTTAATTTATGTAGTCTATTTCTAATTCCACCTGAGTAAAGTTTTGTATTTTGCAGAACTTGATTATTTATTTTAATGAAAGAAGTACCTTGATAAACTAGAACAAAAAACGTGTAGATATAAATTAATAATAAACAGTACGGCTAAAGCTTGAAGTTAGCCATTATAATTATAATGAAAATAATTAATAATAATTCAAATGTACTGAATAATATCTTGGGGTTTCGATGAGAAGTACGTTGTTGACCTGACGAGCATGAGAAAAACAAGAGTTGCTGATTGCACCTTTTCCAAGTCATGCTGATATGTGGTTCTTCCTTCTTCACACCTTCGTTTCCATCCTTCAGCTTTGACTCGGTCAATAACCAAGTTAAAATCATCTCTCTATTTTGTCTCCACCTATTTATTACTTTCTTTCTCCATTCTCATTTTTTCTTCCTTTTCCCATACGCGTCAATTCAATCACCTCTCTAAATATGTATCAACTTTAACTTTTAGTACCATTTTCCTGAAATTTTCTTTTGTAACCATTGAATAATGTTATCAAGTAGTTTCTCTATGCATTACAATCTCTGTTTGGCTCTATTGGTATGAAAGAGAGGGTTGGGAGGGAAGTGAGAAGAAGTGTGAGAATGGATGATAAACATAGTCACATCCACACCACTCCCTATGCCTTCGCACTTACCCTCTCTTTTTTACTCCTCATCGCTTTGCCATACTCCCACTCTCAACCACCGCCACCGCCTTGTGCTGAGCAGTCATACATGTGCAGCATAAACGTTTCCGACATCTTGGATCCTGTCTGGAAACAGATTCCCCCCTCTCTGTGTAACGGCACCGACCCATTACCCCAGCTCAGCTGCTCTGATCCTTATGAATCTCAAAATTTCACACTGAAGAAGGTGAACTACATCACTAACACAATGACGGTGGTGCCAACACACACTGTCAATGTTTGTTCTTCTGATTTTTTTCACATTTACGACAACTTGAAGAACAGTCTGTTACAACATTACAAGTCAGTGTTCAACGTCATCGTATTCTTCGATGGTTGTCCTCTCGACATCCCAAATTTCCCTTCAGAACGCAGATTTAAATGCGGGGATGCTGTGTACTATTTTAGGGAGGAGGGTGAGCAGTTCTACATACACCCATCGCTTGAGTATTGCAAGAAAAGTTTGTTGGTGCCCATTGCCGCTTCTCTCGATGATTATGATAATAAAGATGGTGGAGCTCAAGTTCTGAAAGAAGCTCTGAGGGATGGGTTTCAGGTCTCCTATAGTCTTCCTCAAGATTGCAGCAGATGCAACCAGAGTATCAGAAATTGCTGGAGCGGTGGTTATGAAGGACATGTAGTTTCATGCAACTACTATTGCCCAAATCAATACTGTTCTTCCAAGAGTAGTGGTATGTCTTCTCTCCTCTCATATATCTTACATATCATTGCCACAAAATCCTCTTTTTAGCTACTCACTTCCCACTCTCTCTCTTTAATCTACTCCTAACATTTAACCAACACACACTTTGATGCAACAATTAGGACAAAATTAACACAACAAATTCAGTGCAGTCTGGGATCAGCTGCAATTGGACCAACCCACTCTTACTCCCATCCACAAATTTTCCATCCCCACCCTACTTACCCATCTACACTTCATTTTTTATTTTTAAATTCCATTCCTTTTTGACAAATTATAGTATTTCTTTTACAATTACTAATTATTTCCTTCCTCCTCCGAATTCTTTCCCCCACCAAGTCCCATAAAACTTTAGGAATTGAGTTTGTTAAATATAGTAGAAAATTATATATGAAATTAATTTATATTTTGTTAGATATACTCCTAGGATCTTTTATTTATAAGCGGAAGCTTTCGAGCAGCCCTTTTTGTACTATCATTTTTGTACTACCATTCATCGTAACGGGATACGTTGACCTCAAACTGAAACTTTTGTCAAGAAGAATTTTGATACAGGGATCACTATTGTACTCATACGAACTTAACATCACACTGATACCATGTTAATCAGTACTTCTATCTTAGGACTTTTTGTATTTTTCTAGAATTTATATTATACTTTAATAGATTTGATGGCAATCAATTTCTCTGTTTATGCAAGGATAAGTCCTGCTTAAGAAGTTGTGACAGTGGTAATAATATATTTTGAAATATTGATAATTTTTTTGTTGTTTATTCAGATTCCTGTGATGCTTCTATTCCTTTCATGTTTTGTTTCCCCATTTCCCTCTTTTGGGTACAGATGCAATTTCAATCCTACAATGCCATTTCAGAATAGGCTAGCCAAATAAGTATACCAGAACTTTGGCTAAAGTATCTTCATATATATGTGTATATATATAT